ATACCCAGATTGGATAGACCAAGCTTATCCTTTGCTAGACAAAGAGTTTTTTTGAACTCATTAAGTTATCCTATTTTTTAAGAGAATTTTCCCTACAATTTATTAATAAAATTAAGAAGGCAAGAAGTAGGCTCGTTAGACTCTTTTGCTAGATAAAGAGCCGGTTGCATAGTTAGAGGCGAGTTTGACCCTTAGTTAGAGGCATGTCGTTGCTAGATACGAGCTCTTGTTGATCGAAAAAGATCTAAGCAAAGAAATTAATCTTCTAGAGGGATACATTATCAAAAATCTAATTATAATATTTATGAATATGATTTTATGTTTAAAGATGATTTTCTATGAGATTGGTATTGCTTAACTAGTATCTAAAAGATCTTATATTTTTTAAACTTTAGAAAATGCCGATAAGACGACTATTTCTATTCGAACATTCGGTAACGGGGAGCGAATTAACAATAAAATTTCCAAATAATTGGCTTATACTTTTAATACTTTTAAGAAAGATTAATTTTTTGATATGTTATTAAAAGATAAGCAAATCAAATTACCACTTGGTCATGTTATTCCTCCTATTGAACAATTGAAAGGAAAAACATATTAAGTGGCATTATGTTTATTTTCTTAGCTCTAATCGAGTGTATTATTTTCAAAAATGCTTTACAAATGGCGATTAAGTCCGAAAAGCTGAAATGTGTAGATCATGAAAACATATTGATTGAAAATAATCCTTTTCCAAAATTGCCAAAACAAAATATGGTTAATGCTCAAGATGGTGACATGCCTTCTATATTTCTCATAAACATAAATACATACGAGTGTGGAAAAATAGGAACGAGAATTCAATGTTCCAAATATAGCCCATAACTAAATTGATTATAATTACACGACAAGTATAAAAGCATGTTACTCGTCTATTTTAATTGTGTCATCACTCGTTTCCATATAGAAGGCACTACAAAAAATATAGTATTTAGCAATAGTTCAAACCATCACTAAATACAAGAAATCCATTGTTAATATTTTTAGTGATGGTTTAAAATCGTTCAAAAAACCCTTGTCGCTAATTTAGCAATAAAAAAATCATCGTTAAAATACCTCAAAAATGTCACCAAATATCAACAATTCTATGACTTTTTGTTTGTTTCGTTGCTGAATTCGTCTTTAATTAACGACGATTTTGTCAAAGTGATGCTAATTCCGTCATAAAATTTGGACAATTGAACGTCCATTTTTTTAACTCGTCTTTAAATTCGTCTCTAATTAGTGATGGTTTTGTTTAAGCATCCTAAAATCATCACAAAAAATCCACAACATAGCAATAGTTTATGGAATCCATTGCTAAATCCGTCTTTAATTAGCAATAGATTTAGCGACTATTTTGTTGAAGCCGTCGCTAATTTTAGTTTATAGATGATTTAAAACCATCGCTAAATCCACTTAAATATTTTTTTCAATTATTTATTTCATCACAAAGAAGAAAAATTAAGGGTCATCGATCGGAGGATCGATGGATGAACTATCTTTCGCATATTCAGCAACATTTGTTACATCATTACGTGCTCGCTCTTGAGTATACTCGTTGCAACTCATTTAAAGTAGTTAAGAGCGATGTAATAGTACTCTTTAGTTTTTTTATTTTTTCTTCTTGTCTAGATTGATGAGCCTCGATTTCCTTTCGTTGCACTTCATTATTGACATGAAATCGCGATGTGGTCGTACTAAAGGATGTATTGACATTACAATAATAATGAGAGGTCTCGTGACTCAAGTTCATACATCATCTTCCTCTTATTATTTCCTCCTCCAATAGCCTTTTTTAAGATCTTGTTATGTCAATGTTGAGCGATGAAGTACTATCCATTTGTGGCTAGCAATCTTATCCTTAAATATTTTTTTTTAATAGTCTCCTACATAATTACATAAATTTTAATATTAAATAGCTATTTCAATAAGTTATATAAAAGTGGCATACGTGTGAAATAATCTTATAAATTAAATACTCACTCCTAGAATTCATACAAAAATAAGGAGAAGATAGTTTTCTTTCTATCCTAGCACACGTCACCTCTCGTCTCTCTCTTAGGATTATCGTAAAATATCCTTGAATAGATTTCTAAAGTAAAAATACTAAACAAGTCAGAAAATGTGAAGCTAGCACTCTACTAATTTTGAACGCTTCTTGTGTGGGTGCTTAGACTCGCGTGAATTACCAATAGAGGCTGGACGCTCGGACGACTCCTTTTTTGGAGAGGTTTAATTTTGTGCTACAAAAGGTAATCCTTTATTTATGCTTTAATATATATATATATATATATATATATATATATATATATATATATATATATATATATATATATATATAGGTGATTTATCAGCATGATCTTGAAAACTTTAGATGGAGGAAGATTTTTATTTTATTCCGTACCTTTATAGAATGCAAGATCCTTTAGAGAAAAAATAAAATCTTATTTTTCCAATGTGGCAAAAAAAAAAAAATGATGTGTCATGCACATGGATTATTTTATCTCAACTATATGTTTTAATCAAAAAATTAGGCAAAAAACGAGTTGGAAGGGCCACGTTAAGAAAAGTTGAAAAGTATAGAGAGGGGTTGAATAAAAAAAAAAAAAAAGAATAGGGGTCACATTAAGAAAATCTCAAGAGTAGAGGGATGTTTGATGCGATTAACCAAATATTTTCTCGTCATAAAACATCATTTACATATGCACCTCATTCATTTACTTAAAATATTTCATTTCATCATAATCAATATGTACAACATATGTATGCATATGAATGCACTTCAAGACCATCAAAACACATCATTCACATTAAACACATAGTATTTACGTTTGTAGTGTAGAAAAGTTATACTTGCTTGATTCACTTTAAACCTTTATTTATTATAACCTTTATCTAACAATCGGTATCTCGGCTTGATTCAATATCTTGAACATACATATCATATAACATAAGTAAATTGAAATTCATCATATAACTCTAATATTTAATTTTATTAATTCTTATTCTTTCTCATAATTTCCTTTCTATGATATTTGATACGATAATTATTCATTAATTACTTCTATCTACTTACTCAATTACGTTTCATCATCAATTAAAATTCAATTTCATCACCGAACTATAATTTCATCATCAATTCTTAAATAAATTATCGATTCTACTCTAATTTACTCAATTCTCATTTCATTAATGTTTAAGTGTATTCATATAACATGATTCTTTGTTTTCTCTTAAATTTCGAATTTTACTCGTTCATCATTTTCAATCTTTCCAAAAATATTTTTATCATCTCAAGAACACTTTTATAAAATCCTAAAATAATTCATATAACATCCTACATATATAAAATTTTAATTCAATCTATTAAATCTTAAAATAATTAAAATAATAGAATTTCACGAATTAAACTTTAAATTAATATCATAAATCATTAACTCAAGATAATCATAATCTAACCAATTAAAATTGCTTAAAATCATACTTTTCTCAATTTTTTTTTCAATTCAATCCTCACACAACTTTTCTTTACAATCCATCATCTCAACCAACTTAGGGATTTCTCAAATGCATAGTCCAAAAATCAATTTCACACCACACTCGATTTCATTTCAAGCATCAATTAGTTTAAATAAGCTTTTAATCATCAAACCCTCAAATTCAATTCAAATTATAACCCTAACCTATCTCAATTTTTAATCAAATTAATAACAAACCCAATGTAAATTAGCTCTAAAATCATCATAAACAAATATAAACACCTAAAATTTAAGACCAAATAACAAAAATCTCACTTTTAACAAATGAGTCTTCAAACTCAATTTTTAATGTCCTCAACCCTCCTAGCCTCCCAAGCTTTATCTAGTTAAATATTCTTCTAGTTAAGTTGTTTTCATGGTTTTCTAAAGTATTTAGGCAAGATTTTAGTATTAAAAATGCAAGAAGGAGATGGAGGAAGTAGAGAGAAATGAAGGAAATGAACTGAAAGGGAAATGGGGAGAAAATTAGGGATGTCCCTTTTTGTTTCGATTTTTTTTTAAAATTCTAAATCTTAATAGCTTAAAGGTTCACTAAGGTCATGGGACTCGTTCCTATTCGTAACAATACAACTTAGGACACCTAAAAACATTTGAAATCCTACAATCAAACACTTAACCATCTCATTCTTAATGCATAAACACCTCAAAATATGAAATAAATACACAATTAAAGCAAATTTGTATACATAATTATGTACACACACAAAACGCATTATCATGCAAAGTCTCGGGTGTTGCACTTTCTTCCGTTCTTTCTAAATATGCTTTGTTACACGGATTTTAGTGATGCGTGTTTTTTTGGGTAAATAGAAGGCCAAATGTATATGACTCTATCTTTTAATCTAATGCATTCATCAAATATAAGTTGTTTTTTGATGAGACTTGTTCAATTAATAACTCCCCATTTGACAAAAGAGATAGGTAAGAAAATTTGATTAGGAAGTTAATTACTTGTTGTTAGTCTCAATTCTTTGATTTCGGGCCACTAATTTAGTTACCATACGGTAACTATCCATCAGTGTCAAGATAGTTATTTTAATTAGTTTCCAATAAAAACATTTTTTTTCTCATACAAACAAATTAAGGAATCAGACAGGATTATTCTCATTTTATTTACCGTCCCATATAACTAAAAAGGCTAGCAATTTTGGCAAGCAGTCCCCAACGTAATGGCCAAAATTGCATTTTTCCCGGCCCCTATGATCCTCTTTAAGAAAAACCCACAAGTGAATAACAAATTAATCGCATTATTTTTTAAAGTACAAATAAATTTCCTCTCAAAAAAAAAAAAAAAAATGAATACCAACAATTTTCACACCAGCCATAATTAACCCCACAAAAAGTAAGCATACAAAATCACATCACATCATATATACATATATATATATATATATATATATATATATATATATATATTTGTGATGTGATGTATGTATATGTTTAAAACATATATACCAAACCGGTAGCCACCAACGCAGTGAGAAGAACAAATGCAGCAAAAGAATGCATGGGTGAAGCAGAGGAAGCTGCAGGAGATGAAGATGAAGATGCTGATTCGGGGGTAGACGGTGCAGTCCCAGATTCTACCGTAATCTTCACTTTCATGCCTTGGTCACAGTGGCCTGAAGTCCCACAAGCGAAGTAACGTGTTCCGGGTTTGTTCAATTTCACAACATCATTGCCAGTATTCATTGAGTTTAATGCAGTACCTAGGTCGCAATTCTTGTAGGCACTCTCACCACCAAGTTCAACCACACTGTGTAGCCCTGACGTGTACTTGAAAACTACCCAAAAAAAAATTAGTAATGATGCCAATGAAATCAATTACAAAATCATTATTAATGATGGAATTATGTATAGTTTTTCAAAGAAGAAGAGCCATACCAAGTTGATCTCCAACCTTGAATTTTTTACCAGAAGCCCATGAGTTGAAGTCTGTAGATTCTTCCCAACCTTGGCTTCCCCCAACAACAAGTTGAGCTGCCAAGGCTTCTTTGGTGATCAAAGCAACAAAAACCAACAGCAACCAAACTTTGTGCTCCATTGTCACTCTCTTCAATCTCTTAGGCTTGTTGGGATAACTTCCATGCATTCCTAGTGCACATATATAGTGGGAGAGACCTACAAACATACCCCAACTGTCCCTATCATTGCTTTTCAGTTCCTGATTCCTCCTATGTTACGATAAAATCTAGTCTGTAATTTTCACAATATGAATATCAAGAATTCAAAGCTATATATATATACTATATTGTCCCTATAGATGCAAGAAAATGACACTTTAGGTTGGTCCCCGGTGCTATACAAAACATCTAGCATAGGCATATGTGTAATTGTGAAACATAATGTGGACAACTTTAAAGTTTATGAAGCTCAAAGCAAGATGTTTCAGTATTTGGATTACCCTTAAAGCAAAATCTAGTTGGTTAAAGGTCGCGGAAGCTTTACGTCGAAACTAAGCTATCACTGTTGCCATCATATTCAGTGATGGGCTTGTCTAGAAGGAGATCACATGCACGTAATTATAGAATACTTGGATTGGAATATATAACTTAAAAGTCTCTAAAACAAGCAAGGAAGTAATTGGTAGGTTGTATGTAATCATAACCACAAGTCTATGGCTATGTCGTAATTAAGAGTAAGACAAATTCGGAAATTCCATTGATGATCTACCTTGACAGTTTACCACTCAACAGCTAAATAAGGTTCAGTTTTCTGGTTGATTATGTTGTTCTTGGTTGGGATTAACCATAATATACTTGAATTATTGAAGATGATAAAAACTATACATGATATAGATAAAAAATTTTGTTTCATCAATTTCATTGATCAAACATAAGCTTACAATATTGCTCATAGCCCTGATGGCTCGTGTACATAATATACTTATAACATAATGCCCTGCAGATAATTACTGCTTTAGGATTATGGCAAGAATTTATTACCAAGTAAATTTAAGATAAAATGCATTTATAAGGACCTCCAAAAATAGTTAGTGTTGATGCTTGAAAAATGAAACAACTTGATTGTACACAATGTCCTTGGCATTTACGCCCATGATGAAATCGGCATGAGCATAGTCCTTGATGTATTGAATTGAGAGCTTGTCGACATCATGGAACTTAAGGCTGTCAAGTAATAGCTGAACGTCACGAATATCGGCTAGTGCATCTTGCCCTCCATAGCTGATGAAGATAGGCAGGTTGTGGGGGATGTTGGAGAGGTTATAAATCGGGGGTTTGGCTTCTCCATAGTGCATCACATTAAAATCAGGATTTCCGTAGTTGTATTTTGCTAGAACGCCATCGCGAACAGCTGCAAGTTCATTTGGGATGAGCAATTTTTAAAGTTTTCACTATAGCAGTTTTCATTGGAACAAAAAGATGTTAATTAGCACCATATTTAAATGACTCGTAGCTAGTTAAGTAGTGCACGTAGGAGTGACAAACTTACTTTGAGCCAGGTGCACCATATTCTTGGTTGATGTGGATTGAGGCTCGTTCTTCAAAAAGAGATCAACCGTGGAAGCGTTGAGGCAGCAGTTCTTGCCTTCAATTCACAGAAGTGAAGCATGATATTGTTAATATGATTGCAAAAGGAAATACATGCTATCTATTTAGCTGCAGAAATGAAGCTCATGTTAATTATACCAGTAATTGAAGTCAATAGATCGTAGCAATCAACTCCAGGATAAGCACAGAGAGATCTGAGGAAGTTAGCTACTGGCTCCCTGAAAAGAAAATAAACCAAAAGAAGGATTTTAGATCTTCTCAAGCTGGACAAAAAATGCTTCCTGATAATGACTATGTAAGTCCCTTTTTTCTTACCCTTTTGGATTGAACTCAGCCAAACCGAATAGGGTAGTTATCTGTTGGAAGCAGACACATAATTTTGCTGAGACTATAAGGTATATATGTGGTGTTCAAATGAAGTAGAAAGAATAATCCAAGAATTGTAAATATATATGTATATACCTACTGCAACCTTAGCTATCACATACCTCACCAACAAAAGCTTTAGCAGCAACAACGCCAAGTGCAGTGTTCATGTGGCTCAAGTAAGCAATGGGGCTCAACAACACTGCTGATTTCAGCTTGTCAACTAGTAACCCTTCTGAGAAGGATGCTAAAGCTATCAAAGTTCCCTGTCAAGTAGAGTTGTTTCAGATTACTGGGACAATACACCAGAAAAGGGAATCATTTTGTTTTTATACAGTTTATAATTGTTCGTGTATGTACTGATTGTTTTGACATAAAATTTTATCGTACAAAAATTTACAACTGTAGGAACTAACAATTTCTTTCTCTGGTTTTGGAAAATTGCAGTAGGGATGATTGATAATCTTTGCACTGATTAAGACATGAAAGATATTGGATGACATAATTCGTACCAGAGAATGACCCACGTAGTGTGCCTTCTGCCCAGTTTGGCTGTACACATAACCAAAAACAGCTGGTAAATCATAGACAACCAATTCATCCCATGACCAATTCCAGAAATCCTGCCGTAATTGATTAGATGGAAAAAATAAAACTTAATAACAACAATGATGATATAATGTTAATAATAATAACATTAGGTCATCTATATTGATCTAGAAGTGGTTGCAAAACTAGGAAGCTACCTTCTATGCCTATTTAATTAAGCTGAAACAAGATGGCCTAACATTAATAGTAGATATATCGTGCAATTACAACCCAAAAGTACAGGTACTACCATTATTGTACTGCTTTTTACTTTCGTAAGTTCAAGCTTTTGATAGTGGTACAAAACTTGTACCGTGACTTTGAAATGATAAATAGGAGAGATGATGTTAAAAAGAAAGAGAGGGAGAGAACCGTTTCGTTTGGTTGAAGGGAGGTATGTCGACGGCTAAATCTGGTGCCTCTAGTGTTAGCAATCCATACATCAAACCCTTTATCAGCTAAAATCAATGGTAAATTTTGTTCCGGTACTGGATTCAGAAGCCATGTCATTCCATCCTGCACCATAAATTATTGAAAACAAGTAATATCATCATTATAATGTTAGATAAACGAGACCTATAACATAAAATTTGACGTGAAAGATAAAACTGAAGTAGGACATGCGAATTGTTTTAGCGTTATAGTCTCTCGGTCACAGGCAGACAAAATGGGAGCCCATATCTGAGCCTGTGTCAGGGTTTTCTGGGACTTTGCCCATAGGCCATAGCTCACGTTAGTATCCAGACAAACGAAAGAGACATGCATGAACTGCATGTGTCCCTCACAGAAGTCGAAGATGGAGATCTTGAATTCTGTGCCTGAAACGGCGCATGGTTTTGTGGGCTAACAAGCCCTTCCTTCATGTCTCGGTGAGAATACTAAGGACAGGACATAATACTAAATTTGAGTGCCTAGGAAAATGCAATGTCACTTTGTGATTCACATGTCAGTCCCATAAACTGAAGAGAAGCCTAGAACAAGATAAGCTCGTTACATGTAGTATTACCTTGCAGTAAAAAATACAATAAGAATAAATTAATATTTGTATAGTTAATTAATTTATTACGTGAAATAGAATCAAATTTTCATTATTTTAATTTATTTGAGTATTATATGATAAGACAGGATGATCCGTGATGTTGTGTAAGTTAAAGTTCAATAAACTTTATAATCGATGAAATAAAACATTAGTAGTAAAAATAATGGCTTTTGAAACATCAAGAGAGAATAAAAGATATAACTTGCATCTCCCTTTGAAGCTTCTTTTTCCCCTTTTCTGCACCCTACTGGAGACATTTGATGATTTTTTTTTCCTCAAGTATTTCCATTTCATATTAAAAATAAGATTATTTTATTTTTAATATTAAAAATAAGATTATTTTATTTTTAATATGAAATGAGAGCAATAAAATTTAATTTTTTTAAAAGATATTTATTGATTTTTCACATAAATAAAACTACAAGATGAGATGAAACTTTAATTAAATTTTATGAGGACGTACCTAATATCTCATTTATTATTATTATTCAAACAATTTGAAGAAGTTACGGTCACTTTTTGACTTGTGCTTTGCGCATTACCTGCCCCAGTGGAAACATAACAAATTAAAAAAGCTAAGCCTATAACCTATTTTGATTGGTAATTTGTAAAGAGAGAGAGAGAGAGGAAAAAGCTCTCTAGTGGCTTGCTTATTGCGAGAATGAAGCCTATTCTTTTTAGATGATTCCTTGCTTATTGGCTTTATAATTTAGCTTTATTTGAACTTGATGATGCTCATGAACCATCAGATAACTCAGACATCATTACTTTAGCAGGTTTGCCCCAGACAAAATGAGTGCATGACACATGCTTGTTCATTAATAACCAAAGTTATGCAACCTTAGAGTTTTGTTGGTCTTTCGTTTTTCTACTTTTGGAGTGATCGAAACCAAACTTTACTAGCAGCTAGCTACGCACAATGGGCAGTGACAGGTATTCCTGATGAACTCTTTTTGCCATTTTTTCAAAGGTACCAAGCTAGCTTGGGTCAGGTTCACATTCAAACTCTCTATAATTAATATCCTCCATCTTTATCTTTTTAAAATTTCAATTTTTTTTTCTTTTTTGAATATCTTCATCTTCCTCTTCCTTTTTCAACACAACTAGAAAAAGACCAACCTACGTTGCTTGGATACGCTTCTAAACTAAATTAAATTTGTTACTGGTATATGGGCACTTACCACAAGGACACCATGTTGTATTAAGACTGGCTGCCTCTTGGGGTCACCACCACCACCAACACGGCCTTCAGGTATTCTTTGAATGTTAAGTATAAATCCATCTTGAGTTTTGACCTGAAAACACACACATAATGCCCATATTATTATTGCATAACATATTAACACGCTTTGATAGCCAACTAGTTAAAATAAAGTTTGAGCTCTTACATCAATCTCCTGGCATTTGTACCCATGAATTATCACCGAAGTAGAGCATATACCAACTACTGGTGGATCTATGATACCACTGACTATGGCCATAGAACCACGGCTAGAGCCATATGCTTGATGGGCTATAGACATCATCATTACTAGCACACAAAAGCTGAACTTAGACAAGCCTTGAAGAGCCATAACTAACTTAGATGCCTTCGATTGTTTGCTATGCAAGAGTGGAGTGTGAGAAGGAAACCCGCCTATATGTATAAGAAAAGAAAAGGAGGTACCCCAGAATGGGAAAAGGAATTATTTTCATGGGCCTAACTGACTAGTGAGTTTTCTTGGCATAAAGTTGGGTTCTTTTTTCACGTTATATCCAATGAAGAGGGAATGGATATTGTGAGACGCGTCAAGGTTTTTTTATTATTATTTTTTCTTATCATGAACAGTCTTTGATATTGTGATCCATGAACTATATATATACATATGCAATAAAACACAATATTAATCCTAAATACGATCATCTCCACCGCCTTGTGAAAGCAAAAGAGATTTTGAGGGCTGGATATTTTGTGGACTGGTCTGTGATGATCCTAGAGAAGCCAGGACATGGGGCATTTTACTTTACGTATGTAACAAAAAAAAATCTGAGGGCCCACATAGAGATGTGCGTTAGCTCATGGAGTTGTCTTAATTCTTAAAAGGCAAATCACAAATTTAGAAGTTGTTTTGATTTAGTGGGAGGCGGGAATTTCATAAGCTTTGATCATGGTCACAAGTAGAGTGGCGTAATATCATTGCACAAAGATATATATCTACATAGCACGCATGCTATTTACTCCATATCGTATTTAGAGTTCCTTTTTTTTTTTTTTTTGCTAACTGTTTGGAGTATGATTGCTTACAGTTAAATAAATAATATAAATAAAAAATATAAAAATATATATTTATGACGGTATAATGCTAAACAATGGTATCACATTATCTTTATATATAGAATTCTGCATTATATAAAAAATATCATTGTGTCTATGATATAGGCAATATTATAGAAAATTACAATAAATATAAGAGAAAGCTAACTTGTATGATTGAACACATCACTTCAAGCTGAAAAAGGGAAAGAATATACACGAAACTTGAAAGTAAGCATAAGAAATCAATAAGAAGCTAGAGGTTTGTAAGAACATTAATAATCTAACCGTGCAAGGATAATTATTATGAAAGATAACTGAATTAATTAGAAGGTCAAGAAATTAATTAAAGTGTGAATTAGAGATTTATAATATTAATTTTTATGGTTATATATAAAACTAGGTGTGTAATCGCAAAACCGTAGGGGTGTAATCATATCAATTAAAAGTTCGGATACTTAATTAAAATACTTAGGAAACTTTAGGGACCACAATCACTCTACAAAAGTTCTAGAATAAAGGCTAGATTATGGAAAATTGAGAGGTTACAGATTGAATAAAACTAACTTTAGTACACAACAAACAAGATAAAAATAAGGACCATCACGTTAGTGATAACTAACTTTAGTATTTTTATGTATACTTCCAAAAAGAATAAAACTTTGTATGATATTATCTCAACCGGATAGAGAAGTGGAAAACAAAATTTAGAAAGGAACTAAACAAAAATTGCATGGATTTTATTTTGGCATAGATATATATTTCTATTCAATATGAAGGAATGGAGAATATGGTAGTGGAGAAACTATTATGGACCTCTTAACAAAGAGCCAATGCTCTTTCCAAATTAACAACTACATCAATAATATTAGGCCTCTCTTTTCTCTCTAAATTTACATATTGTATTGCGAGTATAGGCCATAAGCAACACATTCCGCAACATCCCTATTTCTATCAATGGTGTTGCATATTCCACAATTCCTATTGGACTAGCCCCATCTTCATCATTCCTAAACACAACCTATTTTCCTTCCAAAAGTTCTAATAATACCACCCGAAACCATTAACGTCACTTTTTATTGTTAATACATTTGGTACATAGTACTCGGGATCAATATATCCTACTTGTCTCAACTCGCCTTGGTTGACATGAATTCTTGATCGGATTTTGGCCCCATTAGTGATAATCCAAAATCGAAACTATAATAACTCGACATAAAAATAATATTTAAAAAAAATTAGGCTAGTATAAAAGGGGCAACAGATGTCCCTTTTCGAACTTTCTTTCTTCTTCTCCTCTCCTCTCTCACGCCATTTTCTTTTCAAAATTTCTCCTAACTCCCTCCTTTAAATTCTAAGTTAATTCATTGAAAAATTAGCTTAGGAAAACCATAAATAAGTAGATTTAAGTTGAGTTTAGCTAGATTAAGGCTTGTAAAGCTTGAAGAGCTAGGATTGATTTGGGGATTGAAGGACCAATTCTCAAAGGTAAGAAGTCTAATCATTTGATCTTTAAATTGTGATATTTATATGTAGTTAATGATGATATTGATATGGAATTGCATTGGGTTTGTTGTTGGATGAAGAATTGATTAGATTAAGGTTAGGGTTTTTAAGACTCATTTAGGAAAAACTTGATTAAGTGATTCTAAGTATTTGAATGATGTTCAATTATCTTGGGTAAGTGTTTTATGAAGTGAATTTGAAGTGGAGTTAAGTGAATTTGAGTAATTGAGAGGTTAAAGATGATGAATAGTAAAAAATCCGAAAATTGGATTTTAAATTAAAAAAAAAAGAAAAATGAAGAATTAAGTTATATAAATGCAATTAAAAGTGAATGAAATGAGAATTAAAGGAATTAGAACGGAATTGATGATTTAATTAAAAAAATTAATTGTTTAAAGGTTTGAATTGAATTTGAGAAAAAGATAATATGTATGAAGAATAATTGAATTAAGGATTGATAATGGATAATTGGATTGTTAGAGAGGTTATAAATTTTAGTTAAAGTCATTATTTGAAATTAGAATACGAATTAATTTAAATTATTATTTTGATTATTCGTATAATTTCTATAAATGCTTATTTGATATAATATTATACTATCAAATTGCTTTGGAGATTGTATTGTGTTTGAAAAATGGGATTTGAAATAAGTATAAGTTATATGGTTTTCAAAATGCTTTTGAGACCTTGGAGAACCTAGCTACAAGGGGCATAGCCTTTGAGCTCAATGATACGAGGCTCTAACTAGTAGGAAAGGTAGAGTCCTAGTCCTTATGTTGACCAACATACGAAGACCTAGTTGCGGGAGCCGTGACGACCTTTGGGTGTTCACATCCAATGATATGTTTTCACCCTATAAGTAAATAAGAACCTAGGTATATGTTTTGATATGATATATATATATATATATATATATATATATATGATTTGATGGTTTGATATAAATGGTTTTGAAAAATTTAATTTGTGATGTACGATTTCATTACTAATGTGCATCATTTTGGAGAACTAGCATTGTATTTTGAGTTGAATTTGAAAATATCATTGTTAGTTCGCTTCCATCCTTTAGATGTGTTATATAGTATCTACTCATTGAGTTGTTGATTGCTCACCCCTCACTATTTCGGTTTTGTAGGGTTTGTACAAGTGTCCTTTTAGCTTCCACTCGACTACTTTTCTTAAAATCGACACATTGATTATGCAACTTACCTTCTTGTAATTTTTTAGAACCCGTGTTTTATTTATTTGTATTCTTAGAAGCTCTGTAGTTATAGCTTGTGGGTGTTATATTTAAAATTAATTATGGATATTGATTTGAGAAATGCAAGAATAATATTGAATTATGATTTGTGTTAGAGTTATAAAGTAAGGATTGTTAGGCTAGATTATTGTGAAATGAAATGATATTTGATGTACTTATTGAATTGGGGATTTAAGTTTATATATTCGAGGCTTGCTTGATTTGAGGTGGGCCTCACGATTTTCTCAATTCTTCCATCGATCATAGCCCACTCCTAGAATCGTGACGGATACTTTAGCTTTCTAATTGCATCAAGCAATATATTAGAGGACTTGATGTCTCTATGAATAATAGGAGGCACTACATAGTTGTGGAGATACTCAATTCCCCTTGCAGCATCTAATGCAATCTTGATCCTTATTTTCCAAGAATTCGAATGCTACTACTCTTTTCATTACCTAGCTTCTTGTCAATAAACAAATATAGGTCTTCTTCGACTCCAAAATAATTTCAAATTCTATAGCACACTCTTAGCACGAAATCCACGCACACGGGCCCTAATTATTTGACATAAACCGATGGTTTTGTAATGTTTAGATCGCCACTAAAAGTTTTTAAAAATTCATGCACCGGGATGCCTATGGAATAATCGGGAAGCACACCAATTTTAAGAAAAAAATAAGAAGATTCGATGGGTCGGACAAAAGTCTCTTAGTATCTTATCAATAAGTCGGTTGTCTCTCTAACGGATCGACATATTAGAGAAATGAAAAACAAAATTGACCACACTTTCTTCTATCTAAGACAAAAAAATCTACACATTCACCATTTATATCTACCAATATTCTCATTCAATATTTATATCAATAAAAAAATTCGAAAATGCACAAGTTTAAAAACATAAGACGTATGCGATGTCTCAAAATATCTTACAAAAACCGATTTTCATATCGAGTTACCACATTTATCAATTCATAGAATTTACAAATTACCATCGGTATAAATAAACACCATGCCCTCTATCCAAATCACGCAAATTTTGGAAGCCTACATTCGACCTACTTCATTACAACAAAAAATACGTATAAAGACGAAATTCTTGAGGTGGTTTAAGTGTTTTAGTAGGTACTTTTATAAAAAAATGAGAGGCGGTTTACAAAACCGCCATAAATTTTAATCGAAGCGCGAGTTTTATTAATGAAAGAATTTTTTATCTTTATTTTTTTTTGTTTGGTTCGAAACGGTAAAATTAAGCTCTTTCATCATCTTCCTTGCTCTCCTTAGGGTTTTCGAGCTTCTCCTTCTAAAATTGCTTATTCGATCTCCTCGATTTGTTGCGTCCTTCTTCTCTTTGGCTTCCTCATTTTTAATTTTGTTTGGTTCGAAAGGGGAAGATCTTATCGAAAGCTTTCCTTCGGTCGAGGTGCTTCTTCTCTCCTTCTTCTATCTTCCGATCCGCTTCTTCTTTCTTTACCTTTATTATTATTATTTTTTGGTTCTAAAAGGGAAAAGAACGCCACATTATCCTTCTCCTC